GAACCGCTCAGAGCCCTTAGGGGGTGAGCGGTATACAAATTGAAGGATACATACAAATAAATAAATAAAAACCTTTCAAGTCATCATCCAAATGAAGAAGGAAGTCCAGTGCTTTACTATATTTCAACACACACACACACATGCATGAAGCTGCATATATTTGCCAAGATTAGTAAGAAATCATATAAAACCTATCAATTCTCATCCACGCTGGCTAGGCTGTTCATAACTACCACTGATGATGCCACCCAAGTGGTCACCTTTGTCGGTGCCTTTGTGATCGTTTGACCATTCCTTTTTCCGACTCTTTCATGCATAAAGACACAAATTAAGAACTCAAGATTCTGCAGATGAGTTCCCGATGGGCCAGTCTTTCTGGGGGTCTGGCAACACATGCAACTGAATCAATAGCCTCCCCCAAAAAACAGAGGTTAAGGACTCTTCTTCCAGTCCACAGAAAAATGTGGTTGTCCTTATAGCCACAAAGAAGAATACCTAGGTGGAAACTAAACCAAAGCTGAACTGGGTCCCGTGAAAGGCATCTGACCACCACAAACTGAGTACCAGTGGTCATTTCGTAAAAAAAGAGGCACAGGAGCTCATTAGCATAACTCATTAGCGTAACTCGTTTGCACATGCCACACCCCCTGACCTCACCGGAAATGTGTCAGAAGGCTACACCCACCGCTCAGGCTCCACTGGACTGTTTTGGATTGCTAGCTATTGGGGGGGTGGGGGAATGTGCAGATCTGCCCTCACAGAGGAGGGAGAGCTTGTACCTGAATAAAACCTGGTCTTAAAGGTGCCACTGGACTGTTTTGGACCGAGGGGGCTCTGCAGCTTTCCTGGCTGCTTCTTGCTTTGACTGAAGGCTGTTGGGAGCAGGGGGTGGGGCTTGTTGCATGTGCCCGCCCCCTGGGCTCTTTACTGCCGGAGCTCCGCTCCTGTGCGCTCCTGCAGGAAATGACCCCTGCCGAGTACCATCAGAAGATCATCTTATTCTGATTGCTGATGTCCTTTCTTGAGACAGGAAATGTCCCAATACACAGAAATTGCTACGTAGAGGAACTGATTCATGGAATAAAGTTCTGACATAACAGTAGCACAATACCAAGGCCAACCTATATTACAACAGTGAGTACAAACTTATAATTAGTGGTTGCCTTGTGCTTCCAATAGAGTAACATGGCTACATCTGTACCAGTTCATTTGTATTTTGCCACCACAAATGTCAAGTACACACAACTTTCAGCAGTGTACCTGGGCCTGGATTCCTCAGTGACAGAGATCCAAAAGTAACTTCTATCTCCTGCTGTAAAAATAAGAGAATATTTCAGTTTAACATACACTAATAAGGTAAGCAACAAAAGCACCATTACAGACTGTCCTGTACATGTACTTCGGGGCTTCCAAATTTCTTAACATGGACATTGGGGTGGAATGAAAGGAAGCCTCAATTCCATCCTTAGTCTTTTTCCCCCATATCCAATGTATAAGGATTTGAGATTCGTACATATTAGTGGGGATTTTCACACCAAAGGCTTAAAGCAACTCTTGATTAAACAGAATTTTTTAATACAAATCACAAGACCATTGGTCACAAGATCTGCATTACAGAACGCATCTCCAAATTCTTTTCCATTCACATATACAGCACAGGAGAGAATCAAAAGCAATTTAAGCCTCATGTGTCAAAACTTCCCAGTGTGTTATGGAAGTATACTGAAGACAAGCATTTCCTGTAAATCTACATTCTGGGTAACGTTGGTTTTACGTGATCATTACCAACCCAGTCGAAGCCTCAAGGGTGGCAATTGTCTAAACTAGGGGTATCATAAAGGTAAAGGCTCCCTTGCTCGAAAGCCAGTCGAATCCGACTCTAGGGTTGCGGTGCTCATCTCCGTTTCCAAGCCGAAGAGCCAGCGCTGTCCGAAGACGTCTCCGTGGTCAAGTGGCCGGCATGACTAGACACCAAGGCGCACGGAACGCTGTTACCTTCCCACCGAAGCAGTGCCTATTTGTCTACTTGCAATTTCTTGCTTTCAAACTGCTAGGTTGGCAGGAACTGGAACTAGAGACGGGAGCTCACTCCGTCATGCGGCACACTCGGGACTCAAACTGCTGAACTACCGACCTTCCACAGCCTGCAGTTCAGCGTCTTAACCACTTGAGCCACCGCAGCTCCTAGGGGTGTCGAACTCACTGGAAATGTGTTATTTAAAGTTTTAAAAAACCATTTAATTTTGTTTGCCTGTGTCCTTTATAAAGTTTATATCGCCGCTACCTGGCATTACCTTTTATGACACACGTGGCCCAGCCCAACAAGGTCTCATTTATGTCAGATCCAGCCCTCATAACAAATGAGTTCGACACCCCTGGTCTAAACAGTCAATCTCAGTTCTTTAGTTCTGCAAAAAGCTAAGATAGGAAATGCTTAAAGTCAGATTTATTTATTTATTTTTTAAATGACAAGTAGTCAGCAATGTTCCCTCTACGCTGAGTTAGTGTGAGCTGGCACACAGTTTTTTAGCCTCCAGCTCACACATTTTTGTCTCGGCTCAGGAAGGAGGGCTCCAGAGCAAACTGATTATGCAGTACCCAAATCACCTGCTCACAACTCTAATGCCAGTAGCTCACAAAGGGGAATTTTTGCTCACAAGGCTCCACAGCTTAGAGGGAACATTGGTAGTCAGCTGTGTAAAGCTGGCAAAATTCAGGTGCAAATGAGAAACCACAGCCTAGGCACGGACCTCCATTGGCGCTTTACCTCCCGGAGCATCTTCCTTGCCTCATGAAGGTCAACATGGCAACCATTTCACGAAGCTGAGGTCGGGCCCCTTACAAAGGGTGACTGCCCAACCACAGCTGCTTTGCAAAGCATAATCTGTCATAAAGTCTGCACAGAGCGATCGTACAGAGCGATCGCATTTCCTCTTTATAGTTTTGCCATGATCGTACCAGTAAGAGCGAATTTAACGAACTCAAATCTCACAATCCCTCTGTGCCCCCCGTACGGTACCTGTGGTAGAGGTGCAGGCCGGGGGACTCCTTCACTGTGGGGGGTGACGTGCAACCGATCACCACCAGGGCCACTCCCATTGTCTTGAAGGAAGGGGGGGGGGGAGAATCACAGCGTTATTCCAAAGCAAAATGTTCCACATACACAAATACACTGTTCCATGTTGTCATATGCTGCCAAGGGGGTTGGGGAGCTCATCCTGTTTCTTTCAGGGCTATTTTTGGGCAGGAACGCACAGGAACGGAGTTCCGGCTGGCTCCCAAGTTGGCCACGCCCAGCAGGAACTCATTAGCATAATAGGCCACACCCAACAGCAGAAACTCATTAGGATTGGCTACATTAGGGGTGTGTGGCCTAACATGCAAAGGAATTCATGCTATGAAAAAAGGCCCTGGGTTTGGACAACAAACAAGGTAAACAGAATAACAAGCAAAAGGTGGGTGTGGCTGGATAACCACACTTCTGGTAACATGGGGGTGCGGCCTAATGTG